TTTTTTATGAAAAGATGAGGGAAAATGCATTCATACGCCCGAGCTACGCAATAGCCATTCAAACATATTGTACAGGTAAACACCTTATATCTACTACATGGTATATACGAATCTGATTGTGATATGAAACCTCTGGACTTACCGACCGGTATTCTTGGAGAGGCAGCGCCGTGGGTCCGTACCGTCCCTTGAGCGGCTCGGCGTTGTTGTCTCCTCCAACGCAGCGTCCTTCCTCCTCCTCGGGCTGCCGACCGGAAGCTAGGCGCCTACGTCACGGCTGCATCCGGTCTCCGCCCCCCTCCCCCTTACGTGATCTCGAAAGCGAATCAGCCAAGCCAAATCAATCTGATGAAAACGCAAATTGACGATGTATTGGGCGTGTTTTTTTTAGCCTCGTTATTCCCATGACCTGTTTCGAGCTCTGAGGCAACTAATAAATCATTCCGGGCGATTATTTTACTAGCCTGATCGCTGTCATTGATTTTTTTTTTTGCCGCTTCAATATTTTATGAGGCTCAGTGAAAGGCACCCCTACCGTAAATAAACTGGTTTAATCCAGTAATAAAAGCTCTACGTTTTAGTATCCGGGCAACGCCGGGAGACTGCAAACATTCCGTGTTTTCTTTCAATATATCGCTTTATTTTCTTGGTAAAGAAACCTATCTGGCGTTTTGTAGTCCAGTAGCAATCTTATTCAATGTGTGTTTTCTGTCGATAGAATTTCAATGACAGAACATCGAATAAGCAAAGTTATAAGTGACATAGTACGTTCGGAACGACCTAGCGTTTGTTGACTTGTCCATGCAATCCACTTTCGGTGCCATTCACTAATGGATTTTGGACTCTATTCGTAATGCTTCGATGACTGTCCCAAAACGATGAAACAAATTACAACACAAAGTACAAGCAACAGGCACATTCAGTTTGATAGACTATGATTGAAGATGGAAAAATAATTCCTTTTAATTACTAATTACTCCTCCTTCTACCGCGCAACCGCCCACATGGATGAAACTTAAAAGATACTAAAGAAAGGACCGTGCCGGCTTTTTGAAGCGGCCGTAAACAAACATAATGATAATGTGGCTTCATGCCGTGTTATTATAGACAGGAAGGCCATGCCATGCTTTGATTATATGGATGACATCGTCTGGGAACCCCAAACCTAATGCGAGCGTCCGAATAAAAAGAGTCTCGCAAAAAGAGTTCACTAGTATGAAATCTGCTACGTGGTCATGAATGTTGAACAAATGACTAATGAAATGATATGGCGAATGGTAGACCCTTCATTCCCATTTCTTCACATTTTCTTCTTTTCCTTTGGAATTGATTTTCACATCCTACGACAGTGTCGTTTTCCATTATTTTTTTGCAATTCACGACATATATTTGTTTATTTGGAACCTGCTTTGTTCACGATTTACAGTATGGTCGAAAACTTTTTAATGTAAACGGACAAAAATTCATGCGCCCACAGATGTCATCCATATAAATCAAATCAACTTGGCCTAAGCGTACATTTTCAAAGCATATCACGCGAACAAGAGTCGTGGGTGTGCAGCGTCTGAAGAAATCAGTATTGAATACATGCCACACGCCAGCGGCTCGGCGTTACCTAGATACAGAATTACCAAATTGTTATGGGCATAATACATATCATACCTAACGACGTCATAAGTGGTACACTTTGTGTGAAGATTACTATGGAATACACCAGTAATCGAGGTAACTATAGAGATTTCCGCATGTTTGCTAAACCTGTACAGATACTATGACAATCAGGCAATCCCCCAGCGAGTACATACTTATTGCCTCAGCTGAAATTACACCTTTTCTAGCCAAGTATTATACGTTATCGCCTAAGGCAGCTGTACTACAAACCCCTACACTTATATCATGTCTGAGGCTTTTCTAGCTCTTTCTTCTCCTTGTTCCTTTCTGTTACTTACATCTACTACGACCTCCAGGCTTACTAGGATTGCCCCCATTACTGATATGTAAGCTCGCTGGGGGATTTATTATATATTAGTTACACACTGTGAAGTGTACCCCTCGCCGTGAATTGGCCATGTATGGTAGTTTTAATTGCCAGTGTTGGAGAGAGTTCCGAGAACTAGATAGAAAGGACGGCTACTGGGAATTCAGCACCAAGGACAGCATGAGCGAACGTTCTATTTCTCCAAGCACGTTTGTCTACAAATAGGGAGCATGGCTTCTGACCTACCCAACCCTTGTGCTGACCCATGTGGCGTAGGTGAAGGTAACGTGGGAGTTTTGACACGTGGAGTGGAGGCACGTTGTCTGAAGTTTAACAGCTCAGCGCAGGTGTTTTTGGCACTACAGTTATACGTACAAGAGATCACTCGTGGAGAAGTGGATAGTCAATACATGGCTTAGTGTTTAGACTTGCCCTTGAGAAAACAGGATCTAGAGGTCATGGGTTCGATTCCCGGGATAGATTTTTGATCCTTGGTAAATGCACTTTAATGCTTCTTTCCTCACTCCACCGAGGCCTAGGAATAAATGGGTACCTGACTTCGGTTGAGGAGGTCAGAGGTGGTGGAAGTAGATGGATTGGCTACGCCCTCCAATGTCAAGCTTAAGCCACAATGGATTAACAAACCATTAAGAGACCTCAACTTTAACCTTTTACCTCTCAGAAAGCCGGATACATGGAAAATCGGTATCAAAGTACACGACCTTTTTTGGCAATCCTGGTTTACCGAAATGGATACACTCATCACTTAACTCCGCCTAGTGAAGTTGTGTTAAACACCAGGGGTTTAAATCGGATAAACTATGCTAAAGCCATGTTATGGAGATACACAAACCTAGTACACAAATAGGATTAATAGACCTAAATAGAGCAGGGAAAGGGGGTCAAACGTATATGGGATCGGGGCTGATTTATTTATGGGTAGCCTGGATGAAATTGCACCCCACGCAGGTCTCCTATACTCACTAAAAAGGTTAGACGTGGGAGAGTTACAAGAAATTGTTACTCGAGCAACTGGATAGGTTTTGAAAACTGCCAGACGTTTGCACTAGCATCCACTACTTTTCGTCAGTGACAGTTACTGTATGTCCAACCTTCATTAACGTCACTTATATTCTGGCTTGTAAAACTTTCTGCCAGTGTCGACATGTCAGCCCCCCCCACCCAACCCTTATCTTCTGTCACTTGCAAGAAATGGGCTGACTACAGTTTATCAGTTCTCCAACTATAAGATAAATAGATGTCCGGAATTGTGTGGTGTCAGCAAGTTGTCGAGTGGGGTCGTGTGGCGTAACGGTAGAGTGTTCGGCTCATTTTACACCTGGTGGAGTAAAGAAAGCCATGTAAAGTGACGGTCAGGAATGGCAGGAATCGAACCCATCACCTCCACGTCCATGTGGCTATCGATGCCACGGCTCAAATCAATTACTTCAGCCATGTATATAGACAGGAGTAACGTTTATGATTCTAAGCACGCGACCTTTGATCTTGTTTTCAAACTTTGGCAACCTTTATAAATACACAGACGTCTGGACCTTTGACATTTTGTACCGCGTGGTATCCGCTTATTACCCGATCCCTTTCGAAGCTTGCGGAAATTTGAAAATCGTTGGAGTGTTGCCTTGGTTAAGCTAGTACCGAGCACCGTCTTTGGAATCTATAACGGTTTCACCTGCTTGCTGTGGCCTTGTACTCCATTGATTCTAGTGACGCCATTGAACATGACTTTGACGCAATTTTACTTTTCGGCGATTGAATGAATGTCTGGATTGTTTCAAATCATAAGATCAAATTCAACACCGTAGCAGCCGCAATGCTCACTCACTGGGACTTGTATCTTGATTTACGGAAGAAAAAAGATTTAATTGTATATCAACGTACAGTAAATACAAAGGTAAAGAGTTGTGTGACTCCTTGTTTCATTCGGCCAGTCGTTCCATCCTGACATCTGCTTGGTTTTCATACATAGGCTAATGATCGGACGCCCAACCAAACTCGGAAACATGTTTTGGGTGGAGAAAATTCATGTCAGGTATCTTTCTCAGTAACACAACATAGGGGCCCGTCAAGAGACCTCTTGATGCTGGGCCAAACGCCACCATTACACCACACGATGCCGCACAGTTCCGAGAACACGTAAGGTAAGTACTATCCTTTCCTCGTAAGGCCTCGGGGGTGACATTTTCGAGATAAAGCTAGATCCCTTGAAGTTCCCACTTGGACAGCTCGTTTCCGCAGCACTTTAGGCCCACGCTAGGCCGGAGGATAGACAACAAATGGCAAAGTACGCCATAAAACAGTTACTGGATATGATTTTGGCAAAGTAATTACAGTATTTGGAAATAGCCGTTTCTGTTTTTTATTAGTATAAGGCCATGTTGATTTGATTACATGGATGACATCCTCTGAGAACCCCAAAACCGATGCGAGCGTGCGAATAAAGAACAAAGGTTTGAAAAAAATGCCTTTTATGAAACCTACGTGGTCATGAAGGTTGAACAAATGACTAAACACAAGGAGTATGGTATTGCCACTAACAGACTCTTTCATTTCTTCACATGCTCTTCTTTTCCTTTGGAATTGATTTTTTTTTTGCATTCTACATCATTAGTACTACTAGCATCATTTTTATTCAATTTACATCATATGTGTTTGCGTATTTTTCAGCTGCTTTGTACAATTTACAGTATGGTCGAAAACTTTTTTTCTTAGAAATGGACGAAAATTCATGTGCGCGTGGATGTCATCCATATAATCAAATCAACATGGCCTTACACAAAAGACATAAAAGTCTCTCAGGAGGTAACTTTATCATGAACTAACGTCTAACTAATGTATAACTTCATTATCATGAATTGAGGACAGTTCGTCAGACATACGTCTGGTATGGTGAGTAGAGAGATCAGGACTCACTTCAGTCACTCTATTTCTTAATCCTCACTTCCTGATGTCTTTCTTAGACCGGTGCCTGTCTGTCTGAGACGTCACCAGCTTGTCTTGTCTTTAAAATGCCAAACAGACTGTGTCCGTGAGACGAAGGTATGAATTTGAGAAGTGGGGGCGTTTGTCAGCTTTAAAAAAATGAATTTTCAAAATTAGAAGTGTGTAAATATCATTGTGTTTGGACCAAATAGCAATAGAACTACCCCATATGCATGAAACAATCACAAATTCAACAGTAGATTTCAATTTGCTTTTAACTTTACCTATTGAAATATGATGAAACACGAAGATCATAGGGTTCTTGTGTTGATTCAGGAGATTCCCTGTTTCTTCAGTGACACCGTGCGGAAGTTAAAAGAACTGCAGTCAACTTGAATTTGACTGTCGGTGTCTTACTATTTTTTTTTTTTTTTTTGCTTTCAGTGTGATGTTCAACATTGTAAACTTCAGCAAGTCCAAGAACCTTCCCTTAATTATCTGGGGTGAAAATGACAAAATGGGAGTCAGGGTTATTCCATCTTTCACTCATTACAAAATAAATCATACCGATTAAAAAATTCCCTGCTATAGTGTTTACACAACTGTGTGGCCCAAGGGCTATAGAGGCAGAGATGGGCTTCGCGCGATACACCGAAAGGTGTGGGAAGTATTCTAACTTACAAAATACCTAAACTTAGATTACAGAATTGGTCTAACATTGTAGATTTAGTTCATTTTAAATTATCTTATGACACCTCGTAAGCACATAGCCGCTGCCCTAACATTTTACTCATGACCAATCACATTGTTTCACATTTATGCAATAAACCTTTCAGTGAGAAAACAGTATTGTCACACTCGCAAATTGAATCTAAAAACAACTTTTTGACCTAAGCACCTTACAATGAATTGCATTCATAGTTTTGTTTCATGTAATTTTCCGAACAGTCGCTAGGAAGAGCAGTTGACGCCAGTGCGCTTGCGTATGACGCTCCCACTTGTCCGGTTGGGTTTACCCGTGGGCGTTGACCTAGTAGATAGACAAAACCTGAAATCTGGTGGCCAAAGTCGGCAAATTTCTCTCAATCAGGCCATATTCCTGCAAACTTCCCACCACTGATCTGATCTCAGAGGAGTCGCGGTCATTTCTGGTCGACTGAGACGTCTTAAGAATTCGTGAGTGTCACTTTTTCTTCTTATTTTTTTGGTTCTTGTGTGGGGGTGGGGATTTCTGGTTTCATAGGGTTCGACTGTATTTTCAAGACCAGAACTGTATCTAACAGTACGTTTCTAGATTAAAGCTGTCTGAAGAACAAAACATACCCTTAAGTTCAATGTTACACCTAATCTAAACAGTGAAACGGCCTATTTTTTGTTAATTGCGGAAAGCCTGAAGGTAACCTAGATTCCTAAACCTCACCCGACCATTAAGGCAATTTAGACCAACAATGTCCTTAAAAGGCGACCAATTTTCGTGTTTCCGTTATTCTTTTCTTTTGATTTCATCGAGACTATAATCCAATTGAAATCGGAACCCTGGGCAGGTTTTTATTGGGGGCCCTTTGGGGGATGCTTGGGGGGCGCGTCTCCCTTGGGCCAAACCAATAAAATCGCAATATTTGCGCAGGTGTATTTGCACATTAAAAACATATATCTGTTTACAATGTAAATTGCAACTGGTCATCAAGTATAGCGTATTTGGTCAATGTTAGAAATGCCCTGTACAATTATACAGTTTATTTTCGGCCAAGCTACGTGACCACTCAAGGGTAACCATTGCCCTTTCCATAATACCCCATTTGACCCCACGTCAGCAACTTGTATCGTGTACTCTAAATAATGTCGATTCCCTAGTGAACACGAATCCACGGGGCATCGGATTTCAGAAACTCTTCTATGGTTACATGTCTCAAGTACAGTATCATTGCCGGATCTAACATGGCGGACAGGATCACGTTCACATGTGGACAATGTCAAATGGCTTGGAGCTGGGGACAAAGAATGTAGGGGGCGCAAGTTCTACGTGCTAGCAGACGCTTAGTAAAGAGTCAACATAGTGTAAGGTCACCTTGGAACTCTGCCATATGACAGCTGTCGTCTGCCATGCATGGTGGCAAATCAACCAGTCAATGCAAGTCTATCTTCGCTGGCAGTCTTTTGATAGGCAGAATAAGTCAAAATTTTAAGTTTGATTTATTCTACCTTTCAAATTTAAAAAAGGAAAAAAATGAAGTTTGAAACTGAAAATAATTTTTTTTTTAAACTTCATTTCTCATTTTTCAAATTACAAATCGGTGTAGCCACATTGCAACACAATTATAAAGGATACAACATGGCAAATTACTGAACAGCATTACATAACAACTCTAGTATACACTATTCTATTCTATCCATAAGGAACAGGAACTAGTCAGTAGTACACTGTATTGAAGACACAGTTTGTATATGATAGAATATAATCTCATGAGTAGATCTCTGGATATTTATTGGCCTTGATATGAGAAAATCATTTATGATTTTTTATTGACCCGATAACATCTGTACACTTTACGTTGTGTTTCCATAGTGTGGCATGTGTGTCAATACATTACCAATTGTGTAATTTGGACAAAGCCTTTATACTATGTTTATAGGGCTTGGTAACATTACCTTGGATGACCTTCGGCATTCCTAGTCTTGCCACTGGCTATACTTCTTTTTTTTTATGCGTGTCGACAAATGCTATTCACTCATGTTCACTCAAGCACATATTTCCATGCATGGGTTCAACCCTATAATTCACTGGGAAAGGTTCCACATAACGTAACACTGGCTACTATAATAGTAAAGACAAGTGTAGCATGAAGCCTCATATAGAGCGTGCCCCGGTTGACTGGCATAACAAGAAATAATTATCGAGGACATCAGAACCCCCTCCCCGCCGCTGAAATATTGAAAGGTTTGAGAATTCCTATTTTTATTGTAAATTTCTTCCTTATGATGGCAATGGATTTCTCATTGGCTCTGAAAGGGTTTAACAACAGACATGTATACAGCAGGAAATTGAAGACAGGAAATGAGATAACCTTTTGTGAGAAGTTTGAGCTAACTTCCTGTCTGTGACATTTTGTTTCATATCGTATGTTTCCTATTTTCTGACCTTCCAAAAAAGGCCAAGGCTCACTGAAATGTCAAATTGGTGGAGTATCTCTATTTTAGCCAGACGATATACGCCTAGTTGAGAGATAATCTATTTAAGCCTGAGCAGGCATGCTCGTGACTTGGATCGATATTTCTAGCTCAGTTTAGACCTTGCTATAAAACAAATTCCCCAAAGGCATCGTTACATTCGTTGTTTGCCGTCGTCCGATTTTAGTGCCGTACAATTTTCAAGTAGACTTCAACAGAACCAATCACTCACAAGTATATAAGGCAGCGTTTTCTGTAACAAGACTGATGAATTTTGTAGGATATATTTTTCACAGTTATACTTGTCTGTAACTAAATGATTTCACTACTGATTCTAATAATATAACATCATCTTAATTATCTAATTCTGTTCCTGTATATTGGACGTTCCTCTTTCCTTATCATTTTACGTCCAATGGTGTCCGTTCATATAAGCTATTTCACTTGAGTGCGTCACCAGTATGCATTGCTCTGTTTAAACGGTTAAATAAAAAAATATCATTTTGTAGGACTATTCAAAGAATGCCGTCAGTTTTGCGAGACGTATTTTGACTGAACCCCTTAATAGAAGTCACTTGGACGGATCACTTTTCTAGGTCTTCTCAAGGGCATTGCTTAAATGAGATCCGTTCATTTTTTACCATATTTCAAACAAGCTATATTTACCAGATATAGAAAGCAGTATACTAGCTACACGGCAAACAGTCATAGTCATGGTTGTAGACTTCATTTTGTTCTAGTCTTGTCATACGTCCAAATCCATTAAATATTAAAAGCTGTGTAATTTGGTTTACATAACGTTACATCGATCGCTAATCTATTTTGTCATCTCATAATGTATAGGGATGAATGAATGTAACATAATTATAACGCCTAGAAAAGAACAGTCGCAATCACCAGAGATGCTTCTAGTGATAAATTATTCTCCACATGTACAGCAACTCCTTCTATATGGATGGGGCCACACTGAAAATGCATTACAGTTTATAGAAGTTTTACTGTTATCGAACACAGGGGAATAACAAATTTTCAACCTCAGCCTTCATCAGGAATCCGACCCAATTTACTGGCGCGCATTGATCTTCGGGATGTGTGTGACGTCATGAGTGGGTCAAGGGTCAAAGGAAGTCTAAACCTGCCACCGTCCCGTTTCAACATGTCCCTGATGTAAATTTACGCCTTTTCCGATTCTGTATCCAAAATTCCTACTCATTTACTAATTAGGTACTTTTTATTTGATTTCAGGAAGCGATGGCACCTCAGAGCAGCTCAATCAAGTTTGGCGGGAAGGGAACAGGGCCGGGACAGTTCAACACTCCCCGCGGGGTCCTGGTCTCTTACGATAACGAAATCTTCGTCAGCGACATGGGCAACAAGCGTGTCCAGGTCTTCAACATGGAGGGCGTGTTTCTCCGAGAGTTCCCCACGGTCGTGCCAAAGACAGCTCACGTCATGAAGCCGTACGACATCACCATTGATGGCAGCGGCCATCTCTGGGTGCTGGGGCGAGACGGAGCGGCCGAGTTGTGGTCAGTACAACAAGGAGGGAAGACCCAAGACTCGGACGGACACCCGACCAACAAGTTCAGCCTCCCACCGAGCGGCCGTGCCCGCGGAATCGGTCTCGACCGGAGCCGTCAGCACATACTCGTCACGGGGGGTGACGCAGGCAGCGCCGTCGTCAAGATATTAGAGCACGACGGTTCGCTGGTGCGAGAAATTGGTCAAGATGGCACCGTAAAACATCCAAGGGATGTCACCGTCAATAAAGATGGTAACATCCTGGTGCTAGACAGAGATCCGAGCTTCGTCCACGTGTACAACAAGGAGGGGAGCCTGCAGTTCAGCTTTGGGATCCCGGGAACCGGCGATGGTCAGATGAAACATCCCCGGAACATCTGTCACGACAACTCCGGCAACATCGTCGTCGCCGACTGGGGCAACCGCCGCGTGGAGATGTTCACCAGCAAGGGGGAGCACATGCGGCACGTCGGCATACGTGACGGGATGGGCCAGGTCCACGGCGTGGCCATCTCCCCGGACGGCAAGGTCGTCGTGACCGACTGGGTGAACCACCAGGTCACCATCCTACCGAACGACGAGGACGTCTCCTACCCTGTGAGAGAGGCGACGGCGACAGGCAGCAGCGTCATCAAGTTCGGAGGAAAGGGATCGGGGCCTGGGAAGTTCTTCACTCCCCGCGGGGTCCTGGTCTCGTACGATAACGAGATTTTTGTCAGCGACATGGGCAACAAACGTGTCCAGGTCTTCAGCATGGAGGGCGTGTTCCTCCGGGAGTTCCCGACAGTGGTGCCGAAAACTGCTCACGTCATGAACCCCTACGACATCACCATTGATAGCAGCGGGCAGTTGTGGGTGCTGGGGCGGGACGGCTCGGCGGAGTTCGTGGTCCAGTACACCAAAGACGGCAACACCATGGTGTCCAACGGCCAGGCGACCAACAAGTTCAGCCTCCCACCGGACGGCCACGCCCGCGGGATCGGTCTCGACCGCCGCCGCCAGCACATCCTCGTCACGGGGGGTACCGCAGGCAGCGCCGTCGTGAAAGTCCTGGAGCACGACGGTTCGCTGGTGCGAGAATTCGGCAAAGATGGCGTCCTCAAGCATCCACGAGACATCACCGTGAACAAGGACGGAAACATCCTCGTCTTAGACCGCGATCCGGAGTTCGTCCACTTCTACGACGAGGCCGGGAAGCTGCAGTCCAGCTTCGGGAACCCGGGGACCGGCGACGGCCAGATGAAACATCCCCGGAACATCTGTCACGACAACGCGGGCAACATCATCGTCGCCGACTGGGGCAACCGCCGCGTGGAGATGTTCAGCCCCAAGGGAGAGCACATGCACCACGTCGGTACCAAGGACGGCATGGGGGAGGTCCACGGAGTCGCGGTAGCGCCGGACGGGAAGGTAGTGGTGTCCGACTGGGTGAATGATACCATCACCATCCTCCAGAATTCAGAGGCTGTGTAACGGGGCGTGATTCTCAAACGCCGGTAATTGAATTCTCTTATGTACGAAGGCCCCAAGGGACACTATTTACAGCCTTTACGAACTCTCCTGTGTGGTCGTGTGGCGTAACGGCAGTGTTCGGCTCAGGACAAAGAGGTCCCGGTTTCGAAACCTGTCATGCCACCGATCTTGTGTCCTTGGAAAAGGCACTTTACACGACTTTCCTCACTTAGCTCAGGTGAAAAATGAGTATAGTCTATTGTCCTCTGCGTTGGTTGTGGTATACGGAAGTTGACGAGAGGGATTCGTAGAGGCTACCAAGAAGCTTTTCAAAGGCTTCGAAGAAAGTTCGCATAGAGTGTCCTTTTGGGCCTTCGTACTTATGTTCCACATTCACTAGTCTATCTAAATCAATTCATCCACTAGTCTAGCACCAAGTGTTCAGCTGTGGAGTTGGGAGAAAGAGTAAGAGTACCAAAGGTGTAAAATGTAAACTAGGAAAGATATAGCTGCTCAGGAAAAGCTGCCAACCGGTCTATGGTATAGTAAAGTTCTATCTGCAAGAAATAACCCTTTAACGTTTGAGAAAACTGAATAGCACTATGAAATGAGTAGAAAATTGTAAGGTTTTTTTTCTTTTCCCTGATCTTAAAATTGATGTAAATATCAGCTAATGCCATTTTAAGCGGATGCAAGAACCTATTTTACACCATTTGAATGCTTTTTCTTTTGCCATGTCTTTCAGATACAAAACAAATTTTCTAGCAGTTCTGAACACAAATTGTTGATGATTTAATTGTTATAACAACTAACATTGATAATTAGTTCCATAGTTGTTTTCAGGATTGGCCTTCATACCTACCCAACCACTAAACAGATAATGATAATCAGCTGCAGAAATTAACCAAACACTTTTTTGGCAATTTTTCGTGTGTCATTTTTACTTTTGTTCTAAATGCTTTTTTTATGCATCGTGGTTCCAACTACTTATTAATGTTTTCATTCAGATTCGGCAAGACAATCAAATTCCTATCATATGCGCTTTTACTAAAAATTTCACTACTAAATTTAGATTACGTATTATTCTAATAACTAACCAAGTTGTTTAAATTAGTATTTTTTTTATGTTTTATGCACCAAATACTTTGTTACACGGTTTGTTATGTTGTCTACTTCATTCTCCTACTTTATGTCGACTTTGACACCGATTGTTTTGTACTTACAGTGTGTACTTTAGAAGACATGTCCTACATGTTAGAGTAGAAAGCAGATATTGCAGTGCTACTCGGTGTATATGTGGGAATAAAGTATTGAGTGTTATCAGTGTGCATTTGGTTAATTTGTCGAATTTACTCTTGTAGTACTTTTCTATAATAATATATTTTAGGGAACACCCCCCCCCTCCAACGTCCAGGCAATACTTTATGTTCTTTGGTGATGGCAAATCAACCTATTTGACCTCAGCAAAAGAACAAAGTATTGAAGTCAACTCCTTTAGCATTAGGTGACAACCAATAGCTCAAAAACGCCGACTAGCGGTTCAAAATGTTATTGTAGCAACCATTGCCCTACTACAAACACGAACCGTAGCAACGCTTAGTACCAAGCAATCTGAAAATTCTGTTTTGATTATTGAGGAAATTGGAGAGATGAGTTTTGCTACTGTAAACACTGTAAATTGGTTTCCTGTTTGTGGAAGGTGTTCAGTACCAAGGACAGGTTTACCTGTGTGTGGAAGGTGTTCAGCACCAAGGACAGGTTTTTCTGTGTGTGGAAGGTGTTCAGCACCAAGGACAGGTTTTTCTGTGTGTGGAAGGTGTTCAGCACCAAGGACAGGTTTTTCTGTGTGTGGAAGGTGTTCAGCACCAAGGACAGGTTTTTCTGTGTGTGGAAGGTGTTCAGCACCAAGGACAGGTTTTCCTGTGTGTGGAAGGTGTTCAGCGCCAAGGACAGGTTTGCGTGTGTGGTATGCGTCTTGGTCGTCTTGGTTGTCTCAATGATCCAGAGTTAATATTAAGCCGGTAAAATGAGAAGTGTTTCTAATTTTACACTTTCTAGCCTTTCATATCCAGTGCTGTCTAACATTTATGACTGTAAGTTAGCAGGCTGCTGACAAATGCGGCCCTAGCGGTTGCTTAACATAGTGCAACGTTAACTCGTCTTTTTGCTTCATTACTCCATGAAGGAATTGTGACGTCTGCCCTACACAGCCATAGCAAAGATTTATGCTATAAATGAGCCTATCTATATGTAGGTCATTGACGTCACATTTCGTCCGCGGCAAATTAAACTAAAACGCACCAGGCATTTGATTCCATTTCGTGATGGAGAAAGAATGATCTTATTTTATCGTTGGCGTCATTCCGAGTATAACTAAACATTGGATTACGTTCGTTCTTTCAGGCTAACATACTGATTGTAATGTTAACATACTGATCCTAATCTTGTAAAATGCATACATATCCATATATCATTCACCCATATGGTGTTCATTAATTACATGAAGCCCATAAGCACACCTATATAAAATGCCATGAACCACATTTTCCACAAGACATGTACAGCAATAATTTGGGCAATGAAAGAATATAAATGAAAAACCTTTATTGTACATTTATGCTCTTACAAGCTAAGTAGAGACCATGTATAAAGCACAGAGATATCTCGCAATACAAAATTTAAGTATATATATACTAAGAGGTACGTGGTGTGGTTTTCAGCAAAATACCTGCTTGTGGGGGGATGCTGATTTTATGACGGAATTCGACTAATAAATATCTAAAACCAGCCCACAATACGAAACACGCAACTGTTTTCTGTCGTATTTTTGCCTCACAGATATCAGTATGCTATGGGATATAGGATTAATTCAACTTTAATACTACGTGAAAAATGAGCAGACTTTTAGGTGCCTTTGACAAATGGATGGTGCCAGCTGTCCACCGGACATTCAGCCCGATGTTATGACGTACATCCGCTCATTATCCATTTCCCCTTTAATTGGCCCTTTTGAGGCTCCACTAGACGTTGATGACAAGCCCACTCGTCCTACAGGCTTGCTTCACAAAATCTGTAATCAAAGCTAAAGCCTGTTGATTATTTTGGAGAGCTCGGTATAAATGTTATTCTAGTTCTGGACGTTAGCAAAATCCCTCTTTCTACTATACGGCTATCATTGAGCAAGTCGGATTTGTTTGGCCTTGATTTTATAATTAGAATATGATGCACTATGCAGAAGTATGATTTGTGGATTTAAAAGACAATGAAACCGACAGAACATTCTAAAATCGTTCTTTGTCTATTCGATTTGTTGAACTATCTGTAAAATATTTGGTCTGTCAGTGGTACGTTCACAGCCTTGAGAGGAAAGAATTGGGTACGCAAATATATATACATGTAAGATGCAAACAGAAATATTTGGATTCTTAGGATAAAGGCTCCACACTAATGAACGTTGTTTGTAGATGAAATAAAAATTCGTATTCCTTATGAAACTTGACAAACCATGTATCATTAGCTCCATATGTTCGTACATCTACAACTGCCTCAAGAAGCGAGAAGAAGTTGAACCTGTAAATAGTACATTAGTATGTATAGTTTAAGTGTTATTGCTGTGTTCTTTTTTCCCCTGTTTATTAATGGCCTGTACTTTTGTTGTTCGAGACTGCCCAAAAGAATCTAGATAAAGGGTCGCGGGGGACAGTAGAACGACATCGTAACGGGGAAGACGTCAGGCCCAATTACCGAACTCCTACACAACTTGAGATTAGTTTCTTAAGAATTGGGCCTGTCGTCGCCGGAAATCACTTGGGACGGAGACCGCCGGCGCCGTCATTACAATTTCTAGGAATATCGTTCACTGTGTGGTACCATGGTGGTACAAACATGGGAGAGAAAGATGCAGACTGCTTGGCCTTCAGGCAATCTCATCTGGACAGGAACAGTCTATCCAGATTATCGTCTGGAAATGACGTCATGTAACGTCAGACTACGCACGACCCTGCAGTAATAAAGTAAAAGGTTCTGAAGGTGCGTCGTTCGTCACCTGTCCCAGAGGAGACCCAAGCTAGCGTATATTGTGTTAGGGTATTATACTCATGTAAGGATCTAGAATATCATGTTAAGCTCTGTCACACATGGCTGAATAGCCTCCCGAACTTCCCCCAACCATGGTTAGGAGTAAGTAGTCGGGAGCAAAGTTGGCTGGTGATCTGGTTGGGTCGGCTGGTGTTCGGACAGGTCGGCTACTGCTGCCACGATTTCTGCTAGTCCTTCTTCAGACGTCTGATTCCAGATTCCACGGACAGTTTATTGTCTTAAAAATAACAGCAAGATCTGCACAATCCGAACAATAAACGATACTGTCATTATTGACTTAATGCCCTACTGTCACTATTGTCTTATATTTGTCTTCACATCTATGTTGAATGATTATATACACTGCTTTTCGAAGGCAAATTAATGCAATTTCTGGGTGGCAAAACGGAATTTTCTAAGAAGTCAATTTTCTGGTGAAACTTTTAATTAGTACGTTGAATCCTATCCTATAGCATACTGATATCTGTGAGGCAAAAATTCGATGTCACTGACAGAAAACGGTCGCATGTTTCGTATAGTAGCTATTTATGGGTGGTACCCAAAATAAAGAGGCGCCTCACGTGACTTGCTTTTGGGATATTTCAAAAGCTTCAAGAGTATAAATTGATGCCGAACATCTTCTACTAAATGGCAGTAAATGTCAATATCAGAGAGATTTTCTTCATCCAGAATATCTTTTTATTTTGCCGCCCTGATGTTACATTGGACGCCTTTACATTGTTGGAGAAAGATGTACGATGTTTAGATCTAGATTAGCCTCTTCGGGATCGGCAAACTGTTCTCTCCAGCAGACCAACTCCCTCGCCATGCTATCTCTCTATTTGGCCGATTTCTACTCTTTCGAGCCGCCTCCCGAAGCCTGGTAGAGGCTTGATCTAGATGTCCTCCCGCGATCAACGAACGCTCCCTTTAAAATGTCCAGCGGCGAAGAGCTATCACCACCACGTCAGTCAACCATATCGCGCTTTTAGACGCACCAAGCCGTATCCTATGGCAACCCGAGCCATAACGTCGTTATACAAGGAGTATTCACTGGCTTGGGACGTCTACATTCAATACTGGGTGTGCGAGGGGTCAGACAGTACTTCAGGCCTATATGTAAGGCCATGCTGATGTGATTATATGGATGACATCCGTTCTCGCATGAATTTTCGTCCGTTTCTAAAATATAGTTTTCTACCATACTGTACATCGTAAAAAGCAGCTGCAAAATATGAGGAAATATTTGCCTTAAATTGTCATACAAAATATTGAAAAACGAATCAGTTCCTAGGGAAAAGAAGAAAATGTGAAGAAATTATTATTCGCCATACCATACTCTGTGTGTTTAGACATTTGTTGAACCTTTTTTGGCGAAAAGGGAGAGGCAATTTTTTTTATTCGCACGCTCGCATCAGTTTCTTAGCTTAGAAGATACTATCCATATAATCAAGTCATCGTGGCCTAGTATCCTTTCAAGGACGAACAATTGGGAATGATTCCATACGCGTTGGTTGGTTGGTTGGTTGGTTGGTTGGTTGGTTGGTTGGTTGGTTGGTTGGTTGGTTGGTTGGTTGGTTGGTTGGTTGGTTGGTTGGTTGGTTGGTTGTTTAGCAAGTGAGGCTTGCAAAAGACACAGAATATTTTCACAGACAAATCCAAGACATTGCATCGCGAATCTGAGTTTCCAAGGTTATACACAGTCAAATAAAAATGTTCTATTGACAAATGCGAAACGTAATTTAGTACACTAAAGGTACCAATATGTCTTAGGCTTTATTTTAATGGACAAGGTGCGTAGCTGGCCACGCGATCAATGACCGAGCAGTCATAGTACTTTCGCGGGCATTCAGGGCGTCAGGCGCACTCCCACTCAATTTTCGGCGGGCGACTACGACCTTCGTCTGCCACGCAAATTAAAGATAAACGTTAAGAGTCAAGTCGGCAGACAGGGCAGAGCTTGTGTATCGATCTTCTACAGAGATATCGGCCGATATTGGCTCAACTGTGCAAATTACTTCCAATCCTTTCCACTCCTTTTCGCCAATTACACAAAACCTCTTACCTCGGCACAAATTCTATTGTCGATAGTAGCGGGACGAATGACCTTGTCAAATATTTCATCTCTGTTCGATCAGAGACGGTGACCCCAAGGTCAAGAGGTAATAAAATTGCCCCTTTACCCGTTCCCAGGATGCAAAGTGCCAGGGGGTAGAATGTCCCAGGTTGCATAGCGCAGGGAGGTCGGGACACCACATACTGTTGAGCATTATCTGTTCAAAATTGAGTTACAGGTCAAGTATGACAACTAAGTGTGAAATTCTTGTGTTTTTCTTAACATGAACCCATATTTCCCACCACCTGGCGCTATGCAACCTGGGAATTTTTACCCCTGGCGCAATGCATCCTGGGAATGGGAAAAACAGGTGAATGACACCTGCTAGCTCTCATTCTGACCTTTCGTATACCTTCAAGTCTTTACTCTGTTACCCCCCTGCGTACAGACGGGAGATGGTAGCGCCCGTGAAGCGATTGGCTCCAGCCCGCGTATGTTTTATTCTTCCGGCCGCGTTTGTGGCTGACGCGTGCACCCTGGGGCGCCGCCGTGTGTGGAGTAACCGGGTACGTACACGACAGGATGAGGCAGTCCCGAGCAGCTGGTACAACTGCCGTCAACACCTGAGCACCTGGCAACATGAACCTCAGCCTCCAACAACGCCTGCTCCTGCTCTGTGCCCTCCTCCTGTGCTGGGCCTGCATTGGTGAGTACCGTGACTCTAACGCACACGGGTTCGTTTCCCAACTTGTACTAAGGAGGTTTAAATCTCCTCGCTTGTACAGAAACATTCATTGTGAAGAATTTGGTGCCACATGAGTCTCTCTATGAGTGAAGCGCTGTGTTTTTTCTTTCGGTAAAGTCTTACGTCGACTTACTGCTGCCTTAGCTTTTAGTACTAGTCTCCCACTATGAGAACATTTTCAGCAGATTTGGCTTCAGCAAGCTTGTTTCAGAGAAGCACTTATGCTAACCTTATCCAAGTTACTAATGCTTGGATCCAGGATTTTGTACAGGAAAGACCGCTAGTCATTAAGCAAATGAGAAATGAGGTGATATAACAGTCCAGTCGGAGGTTGGCACGTACTACATTTACGACGTCTTTCGTAACTTGTTTTCAACAGGGAGGTTCAAAGGAAACCTCCTTGTTTTCAACCCAAAGTATAGAAATTCTGTGACGGTGTTCTTAAAGCAACTTATGTTGTTGTTGGCTGTATTTTTTTTCTTTAAAAAACTTCATATTTCTTTTACATATGGATACAGTTTAGTTGGAACAGGGTACTTTGCATGAGCTCCAAGCGTCGCAACTGAGAGTCAGTTGTGTAAGAGGTTCTAGTACAACCCATGTGTCAAACTGCACCCTGTGCTCCGATACGATTCGACATACGATTCGACGTCCTATGACTGAATACATCATTTAGATGTCTGGCGCCTGTGGGCTTCGCCTTAAATACCCAAATCATCTCCTGCCTTTTCTGTAAGGCGTAGCAAGGATCTGGCTGTCCTGAATGGATGAATAGAGATTACTGTTGTAAAAGATCTCCCAGGCTTTTGTGTGTTGTGAACAGGCCTGTCTGTGATAACACGTGTGGATACCGCTGCAATCGATGTTAAAGCTGCCATGCTATAAGTCAAAATCACAAAAGCCTCATAAAATATGGAGACGTGCGCAGGCAAGACTGATTGTCTGGGCGGTGACGCACTCGTTGTGTTATGAATGGTGACAATGAATCGGTGAAGTCGTGTCGGCAGAGAGTTTGACTCAGAACCGAGAGGTCCCGAGTTTGAATCCTACCATGCCACCGATCTTGTGTCCTTGGGAAAGGCACTTAACACAACTTCGGAAAACAGTCGGTCCAAAATCCTGCTCTCTGACTCTGGAGATATATATGTCTCATAATGTAGAAAAGTTCTTAAAAAGTCGGTTAAGAAAACTCTCGTCTAGTTCTCGTCCTTTTTCGATTTTGTATTTCTAGTCACTATTTGGTATATATATGTAAGACTAGATGATACGTAATTGATGAAAAATGAATTGGAAAAGAAAAAAAAGGAAAACGGCAACATTTGTATATACGGTGTACAAGAGTTTTCATGGTTTCTTTCCTGTCGTTTCCTCGCCCGTAAATATCCCAGTTTAACCATGTCTACTAGAGCGTCCGTCGATTTGGCTTGTAAGTCCCATGTTTAGGAGAGATATGCATGTACATTGTATAATCCGATCAACTCTACAGTAGCAAGACTCCCCGAGGCGTAAAAAGCATTCAGTCGTCACTCCGGGGCGAGTGGGCAGCATCAATTGCGCTCGTTTACTCGGCTGGCGATGTCGGTAGCCTGGGCAGCAATCTCTTATAGGGCCATGTTGATTTGATTATGTGGATGACATCCTTTTGGAACTACAAAACGTATGCGAGCATGCGAATAAAAAAGTTTGTCAAAGAAAGTTGATTTGATTATTAGTTTATTTTTTAATTTATTTATGAAGATTTACCACATTTGTGGAAGGATTGACATAACAGGTGACTATCACCTCTCCAAGATGTCAACCCTGTACCAGACTGTAAGGTTTAAACCACTCACACCGAGAAGGTCCGATCCCCTACTCTTTTCGATAAGTGTGGTGGGTTCTTTAACGTTCATTTAACGACCTCTCCGAGGGATTATGAAATCTACGTGGTCATGAAGGTTGAACAAATGACTTAACACACGAGTAAGGTATGGTGAGTAATAGACTATCCATTTTCATTTCTCCACATTTCTTCTTTTCCTTTGGAATTCATTTTGGCATTCTACGACATTAGTATCGTTTTCCAATGTATTTTTCAATTTACGGCAAATAGTTACTCATTCTGAATCTGCTTTGTACGATTTACAGGAAACGGACGAAATCTAAGATTCGAAAATTCACGCGCGTGTGGCGTCATCCATACAATGAAATCACCGTGGCCTAAGCTCCAACCCTCCGGTTAGTCCTCTAATTTCCCCTGGACGTAAAGCACACATTCGTTACGTCGCGCCCGATACTTTCGGGGGATTTGGCAGTGCGGAGGACTCCTGGGTTTCTCTGTGATTGAGGTTTAATTCGGACCAGTGGAGGGGCGAGAAGAATTAATAAGGCCCACTTTCCACTGAACGGAGACCGGGAAACGACCAAAATCTAATTTATAAAACCCTATCTCTTTATACACTAACTATGCTCTATGATATAGATCTATGTATGATCAAGGTATGATTTTAAAGACCAAAAAAGACACAAAGTGTTGAAAATGTACCTCAATGAAATTTGTTTGTGAGAGCTCGAGATTTCAATCTATGGTCGCACAATCGTTGCCACATCAGTGGAAAATTGACACAGTACATGCAACACGCGTTCTGTTACTTGCAAATTGATGGGAAGAACCGACATGTGCGCTCAAATAAGCGCGTCGAACGGTCCAAGGGATCACCTAGGAACCCTTCTGACGTTTGGTTTCTCCTCTCCTGTAGAGCTAGAAAAATCGCGGCGACCGTTTTCCATCAGCCGAAGACCATATCGAATTCAATTCCGACGTGAAAGTTTGATGAAAGAAAATCGGCAGGCTTCTTTGGGCTTACATTAACAGGGTTACGCTTAGGGACGGTGCAAGATGTGTTTCAGGGGTGTACGTTGGTGCATGAAAATATGTGAGTAACATTGTTGCATGAAAATATTACTGCATTTTTCCATAAAAATAAAATACTTTGTGGAACTCTTTGTAGTTTTGTGGTTCTTTGCTTAATTCCTAATGCGATCTCGTTGTTTAAAAGAGGAGCTTTCTGTTCAAGTTCGTGCTTTCTATTCACCAAAGAGTCTCCCCTTCTTAAGCTCGGCTCCTAAAAGCCATTTTGATCATTCCAGTCGAGATACAACAGAAGGAAATTCTAATTGAATTTCTTACAGGCGCGTGAAGAAGGTAAACATCTTAAGGTGGCGTACAGCAGACGCCTTTCATCTTAAGCCTTTGCTCTTAAGTAGACTAGTCCCCTCTGTGCCATTCACAATAAGATTCCACTTTGATCGCATCATATGTGCATGTACTAAAAATCCCCACTCGTGCGTTAAATGCTTGGCGGTAGGAACAAAGTACAGTATTACATTTTAGAATATTCCCATGCCAAATGTTTTGATTTTCATATTTTGTAATATGTCAAATTTCTTATGCTTAAGAGCTCTTTCAAAACACATTTGCACTTGCTATTTATTTGCTTATAAGTAGATGTATATAGTCATTTTTCTTCATCTTTTTCTTCTGTAACTGTGCGGCCCAATGGCTACAGAAATGGAGATGGGCACCGCCCCTATGTTCTGTACATAGTAGAACAGGACCTTATTTTAATGTATCGGTAGAATATCAAAAATAGACTTATTTGTGATCGAAATGATACTATTTGCAAGATTAGACCTTTTACCCAGGCATGATTTTAAAAATATTTCCAGACAACTGATATGAAAAGGTCAAATTTTTATATTTCATCATCTGATGGTCTCTTGTATCCAGGCACCTAACGAGCCCTGATGTATGTTGATGGTGTGACCTTTCAGATTTAGCGGGGAGCTCGTATGTCTTAAACAGGAATGATGAGACGTGTGGGGAAGACAGATTCGTGAGGAGCGCCGATCGGAGTTATCCTGAACGGCCGTAATGAAGACTGAACGTGTGGCATGACATAGATATAAAGAACATGAAGTAAAGAAAATAGGGAGTGGCACAAGATCTAGCCTGACTAAACCGCGCTCCTGGCGGCCGCCCGCCCGATGGTTGCCGCCCCTTCTTGGCGTGGGGGTCATTGACCTCCGGCCAAGATAGCTTGTATAACACAGGCTAGCGCAAGATCTAATCAAAATGAGTGGAGCAGACGTATTCTTACCGTCAACCCCTTCCTTAATGTTTATATACATATTGTAAGTCTAAGCACGTGTCTTCTTTCTATCAAGAATCCAGTCATAAATGGATAAATGTACAGATTTAGTGCGGAGACAACATAAATCATGATCATCATATTTGCCTGGTTGAAGACTCCCCTTCGGCCCGCCCTGTCATTTAGCATTAGCATTAAGCATTAGTATGTAGAATTTAGCATTTAGCATTTTGGCATTAGCATTTAGCATTAGCATTTAGCATTAGCATTTAGCATTAGCATTTAGCATTTAGCATTTAGGATTTTGGCATTGGCATTTAGCATTTAGCATTTAGTATTTAGTATTAACTATTTAATCATTTGGCATTTAGTATTAACCTTTAGCATTAACATTTGGCAGGCAGTTCGTAAAGGGTTAGATTTTGATTGATTGGGCGGTCTGCATCAGCCTTTACTCAGACCTAGCAGAAGCTAGGTACTCTTGAGCGGATCAACCCCCCTGGTATGTTATCTATCTTGTCAGCCAATTTCTACTCTTTCTAGCCGCTTCTGGAAGCCTCATAGCAATGCTAGCGGTAACTGATTCCATACTTATACTTCATGTTGTGTCAGCAAATATTTCAGCATGATTTTCAAAATCCAAAGCCAACCAGCGAATAGCCCACGGCTTTTTTTAAGATCGAAAGCTGAGAAATATTTAATCCGTCAGCTCGGTGTAACACGGGTGCAGCGCCCGTCCGTGAAGACAGCCCCGGGCGATGACAAGTTTAACATTTACAGCTCGTTCGTCTTGGCAGGTACACACTGCCTCTGGTGAATTATTTAACTTTA